TCTAGAGGTTATATTGGGCTTACTCCTCTCAAATAGGAGCCAAAATTGTTGGCTGTACATTTCTGCATAATTTGAGCATTAAATCGGATGTACAGGACAGCTCCAGGAACCTCAGATAAGCTATCTAAATTATGTTTGTAATTCAGGACAGTATTATCATCATAAAATTTGTTAGAGGGAGGTTTGTGAGTATTATACACGTAATCTCCAGATTAATTGGTGAGTGTTATGATTATAATTCTCCTTCTGTTATATAAATGGTATATGTAATCATTTATTAATTTAATATACAGTCCACAAAATTATAATAATTTTTTTTTACCAGAAATTCCTGGGGTGTATTGTACATTTCATTGTAATTAATGTAGGTCTAGTGGAGCAATTGTGGATATGACAGTTGTAGGTATTGAAGGGGGATATTTTTGTGACCTAGGTGTCCCAAATTCCTACTTGTCTATGTAACTTTGATAAATAATAATTATTTAGTTACTATTTACTGGTATGTACCTCATGTTACATCAAGCTCTGCTTCACCTAGATTATAGCTTCTAGGGTTATTCTCATTACCAAGGACTAGTACCTTACACTTATCCACATGGAAGTTCATCTGCCATTTTTCAGACCAAGACATTAATTGTCCAAATCTCCTGGAGTTTCATTGCTATCCTCCTCAAATGAATTTATGGCCTATCTTTGTATATCATAAAGCAAATTTACTCATGTCACTCGTAATCCCTTCATCAAGGTCATTAATGTAAATTATGAACATAGTACATAGTACTTTTCCCTCTGTAATTTACTCACTGCGTCCAAACCATAAGTTTGGAAAAAGGGTATTGTGAGGAAAAAAGCCCATAATAAGGGTGTTGTGGTTGTTCAGACTTGAAATAACTTTAGTGTGGTTACTGGTGATTATGATCAAGCTCTGCTTCACCTAGTGTTGTGATAAGAAAACCACAGGCTTATCTCTAGGCTTTATTGAACATAGAATCTTTCATAGTACTTTCTGCAACAACAAAAATATAAATGAGAGTACATCTAATAAGGCTTCTACAGGGATGGTGATGTCTGCATATGTCCAAGAGAAAAGTTATAATACAGGCAACATATTTAAACTCACCATGTATCTGCATGACTAATGTATAATATAAATAGAGGAGGGAGAGAATCACACGTGTGTTGGCGCCCATCACCACACACCAAATGTTGTTGTTGTTAAGGGCCCCAAAGAGGTGGGCAGTATTATCTGCTGCTGCTCCCCACAGGACCAGTATCACTACAATCTCCCCCTTTAACTATAAGAGACAGTAAATCTCCCAAACTGTTTAGGTGGGCGACGTACACGTCCCGACCTTTCGTACGCCCTTGAGCCTCTCCACAGGTTTCCGATATTTTCAGCGGGGTTTGATTAACTGTGGAGCAGGAATCCCTATTTCCATAGGGGTGTCTCAAGGGGCTTTCCAGGAGAAACGAAGCATCTTTCACATCTATTGGTGTATCTTGAGATTCCACATAATGGGATTTCAACTGGGGGCAAATGTCTTGTAGATACTGTAGTCTCTTCACCATTTGGTAGCGAATGTGGGCGTAATGTGGATTGCTTGCAGGAGCCTCTACCTCTTCACTAGGATCCGTCTTGTCATTTACGGTGACTCTTCGGAGAACGGGTCAGGATGAATAACCAAGTGGGCACGGAGGCTCCCATAGAGGACCGACTGAAATAGTTAGGAGTATTTCATGAGGGGTCGCATTAGTAAGCGTGCACAAAAAAACAAAAAACACATGATCTAATAGAGTTGAAGAGCATCAGGTAGGACAGTTTGCAGTGTTGAACAGGTAGATTGCGGACTGCAATGTCATTGTAACTGCCTTCCATATGTACATTGAAACCGCTCCACTTGACCATTGCTTGAGGTTGTTCTTGTTGTTCTGCTGCAGCAATACCTTTGCTAGCCAAAAACTCTGGAGTTCGTTACTCATGAACGAGGGATCCCTGTCTGAATGGATATAAGCTGGCATACCAAAAATAGAGAACAACTGTGAAAGACAACTAATAAACGTGAAGCAGCCATATTTGCACAGGGGAATACAAAAGCCGAAACCTTGCGAATATTCCATCTACTATGTTAAGGAAATACCTATTCTGATTTGTGCTTTGGTAGAGGTCCTTTGAAATCTATATTCAATTCTTTCGAAAGCTGGGTGGATTTTATGAGACTGAGTCTTCTCTGCTGATGAAAGTTGGCTTGCACTCTGCACATACTCTGCATGCTCTGATCACTTGTCGCACATCTTCCATGAGTAGGCATGTTCTTTGATTTGACAAATGGTACAGGCGTGTAACTCCCGGGTGACACAAAGCCTTTGTGGAGCGTGAAGTGATTGCAAATCATGACATGCTGCTCCACCAGTGGGACCTAGAGAAATGCATCAGGTGAGTGTTATCTTGGCCCGGTCGTACAGAATATCAAAGTCATAACACGATAGTTCCATCCTCCAGGTAAAATCTTGTCATTCTTTATCCTATTTGTTGCTTCTTGTCGAATATACATCACGGACCGTGGTCAGTCCTTATGGTGAAACGTCTACCAGTTAATTAATGCCTCCAGTGGCTAATGCTTCTATGTGGCCTGGGCTTCCTTTCTACAGCAGGCGTAAACATTTTCTCAGATCCTGAAAAGTTCTCGAAAAGAAGGCTATGGTCGTCCTGCCTGACATAAGACTGCAGCAATGGCAATTTCAGATGCATCGTTTCCACTTCGAATGGTAGGGACTCATCAATGGCTTTAACTACTGGAGTTTCAATGTCCTGTTTGAGAGATATTGGAAAGCGGCTTCTGCTTCCTTTGTCACAGGAAAATGTGGTAGCACTCAATGGGCGACTTTACTTGAATAGTTGTAGGATCCATTGTGACTAATAAGCAAAGAGACCAAAGAGTTCTTCCGATGTGACTTTTTGTCTTGAGGCATTGGAAGTTCCGTAGAGGTCGTAGTCGTTCAGGGTCTGGGACATATTTGGAACCTCCTTCCCACTACATAACAAGGATGCTAAGCCTTTTAGTTGGAAAAAGTGCACTTTTTCCTCATTGTAACTGATATTTTTCTTCTTGGCGGCTTCCAAAAAACTTATCAAGGGTTTGCATCATGTTCCTCCTGGGTCTTGCACAAAATGGTAACATTATCTAAATACGCGTAAGTTCCCCATGGTTGCCTCTTCCTGAATGAAGTGAATCCATAATTCGTTGGAAAGCAGGCGCCCTTGGTGACTCCAATAGGGACTCTGGTAAACTGATACAGGCCATCACTCAGCTGAATCGCTGTGTATGGTTTTATCTTCATTTTATAGGGACTTGATGGTAGGCACTCTGTAGATCAATTGTGCGAAAACACCATAGTACTGAGCAATTCTGTTCACAGTATCATCAATTCGAGGTAGGGGTACCCATCAAGTAGTGTAAATTTGTTGATTGACTCAGAGTAATCGATAGCCAGTCTCCGTTTCCTATGACCATCTTTAACAACAAACAAACCTGGTGCACGCAAGGGGAATCACTCGGTTCTATATACCCTCCTTCAGCAGCCTCTGAGTTTCTTTCTCAATGAACATCGATCTCATAAGAAAGCGGCGTGATTAGCTGATAATAGGATGGCAATCCGCGGTAGATATTGCAAACAGCTTTGGTGGGTCTACCCTTAAATTGCTAAGTCCACAGACAACAAGAGGAGGCAGTTCACCTCCATATGTTAAGTTGACACTACATGCAGCTTCTGAAAGTCCTGACCAAGGATAACATCGAGCACAGTTGTGGAGGAATAGCTAAATGGTACATCTTGAGAATCCTTTCCATTACTCTCGATTTACCTTACAAAACCCTAAGGTCTGAATAGAGAGAGATGTTGATGCCATGGAAAACAAAAAAACAACCCCAAAAAAAACCAACCAAATACCTGATGAGTGATGTACAGTCATGGAGTGGGGGTTTAACTAAGTCAAGGTTGATGAAACTCTCTGAGCTGCACTATCAATAAGACCATCTCTCTGTTCCTTTGATGAATACTTTCACAACTAGCCTTTGACAGTGAATTTTGGAGTAGCCGCAGAAGTCATGTTGCTAGAGTCGCACGATCACTGGGAAATGTGTGGGAGGCACTTTTTTAGCTCTTGTTGATGCATTAGCACGGACATATTTGCAAGTGACCTGTCTTGTGGCATTATGTCGCCACATTGCTTCACGAGCAGGACACTTTGGACGTGGATGTCTTGAAAAACACAAAAGAAACACCCACCGTACCTGCTGCTGCTGTCACTGAGGCATGGTTCCACAGTAACTTCATTGTAAGAGTATTGGTCAGGAATTGCAGCATTACCACTCGAGAAGGCTGAAGTGGTACTGTATACTCGAATTCTTCTGGGCTGAATCTAGAGCTATTGGCCTGGTCAAAAGGCAGCGGCTAAGTCGGAGAGTTTTATTCTCCAATAAACGCTGCCTTATTAATGGTGATTGCAGGCCACTGATTAAAGATCCCTGATGGACTCTTCACTATACTGAGCAGCTGTCATGAATGGAAGTGACAGTTCTTACCCTAAAATTTCAGTGCTTGAAAGTATTCCTCTAAGGATTCATCAATCTGCTGGCGGCGAGTTGCAGGCGATAGCGTGCAAAGATTTCTTTGTAGGTTTAATATACTGAGGACTTGAGGGTTTTGATAGCATCTTCGTAGGTATTACACTCAGAAATAGCCTCATATATCTTAGGTGACACAAAATTGATGAGCAGACTTAGTTTATCTAGATCTTCTTTAGGAAGGGCTCCCAAGAAGTTTTCGAAAGTCTTAAACCAGTGCTTCCATTCCTGAGCAGCCGTTGATAAGCTGGGGTCACAGTCTAGCCTCTCAGGTTTCAGTAAACGCTCCATGTTGTGATGTAGTCTAGCGCAGGATCACCACCAGGTAGCCCAGGATTCTATGTTCAATAAATTGTTGTGATAGAAACACAGGCCTTATCTCTAGGCTTTATTGAACATAGAATCTTCATAGTACTTCTGCAACAACAAAATATAATGACTAGTACATCTAATAATGGCTTCTACAGGGATGGTGATGTCTCGCATATGTCAAGAGAAAAGTTATAACTACAGGCCACATATTTAAACTCACCATGTAATCTGCATGACTAATGTATATATATAAATAGAGGAGGAGAGAATCACACCGTGTGTTGGCGCCCATCACACACACCAAACTGTTGTTGTTGTTAAGGGCCCCAAGAGGTGGTGCAGTATTATCCTGCTGCTGCTCCCCACAGGACCAGTATCACTACACCTAGATTATAGCTTCTAGGGTTATTCTTATTACCAAGGACTAAAACCTTACACTTATCCACATTTAAGTTCATCTGCCATTTTTCAGACCAAGACATTAATTTGTCCAAATCCACATGGAGTTCATTGCTATACTCCTCAGAATGAATTATATGGCCTATCTTTGTATCATAAGCAAATTTACTCATGTCACTCGTAATCCCTTCATCAAGGTCATTAATGTAAATTATGAACATAGTACATAGTACTTTTCCCTCTGTAATTTAACTCACTGCGTCCAACCATAAGTTTTGGAAAAGGGGTATTGTGAGGGGAAAGCCCATAATAAGGGTGTTGTGGTTGTTCAGACTTGAAGGAACCCTTACTAGTGTTACTGTTCTCACTACCAACTAACGGACTGAGGCTAAACTTCAGTTCTTCTGGTCTGATTTGCTTTAATTTCTACTCCTGGTAGTATCAACCTTCCCGGGTGTGGATTAAATTTTGGGAGAATCACTTCCCCTCCAATCTTTTTTGATCAGGCAAGGTGTCTACCTGAGTATTTCGTTATTTTATGTTTTACCTGCATCCCAGTAATGTACTGAATTTACAATACCCCCTTTGTCTTTTTCAGGTTTTTCCCTTACTACCCTTATGTAACCAATACGTTTTCTTTTTATCAGCTCTGCTCTGGCCATAAACCCAGGGGGACGTATTTAAATGGGAGCAAAACCCCTGCCTTCAGGAAGTAGTGGGACTTTACAGGAATTTCAAAACGTCTGTCAAAACCCCGCCATCAGGATACCCAACCCCTTTTTTCTCTTAATACATAGAAGCCATTTTGGGCATAAGACCCCCATCAAAATTCATACGGGAAGCAGAGGGTAAAATTTTTCAACTTCCAACTGTGACCCTTTTTTGCTGCGCCCCCCATCTTTGGAAACCCTTGTCTCTTCCACCTGTCGATTTCTCTTAGCTTTTTACAAGACTTTATCATTTTTTTTTTTTCCTCCTCCTGTCCTCTGTGTCGTCAGGTCGATCTCCTAAATCTTTCCTTGTACAACATACTCCTTATTCCCCGGGACTAGTTTTGTTGCAAATCTTTCCACTTTCACTACCCTCCTTACAGCTCGTAGGTGTGGGTTCCAACTGATGGCATACCCCAATATGGGCCTGAATACACAGTGTCGGGCCCCAAGGGAGTCCTTATTTGATGTCGGAAAATGCGTTTTGGTTTTTTAAACCCACCGATCGCAGCAGTTATTTATTGATGTGCCCCTCTAGGATGGCCAGTGTTTTACCACCCCAAGATTTTTTTCCCTTGAGTGAGTTTTGAAGTCTCTGACCCCCTAGACTTACCCGTTGGGGTCTTCTTGCCTTTCCTCAATCTTCATGACTTTGTTTTTTGTGAAGTTGAACCCCAGGAGCCAGTTGTGGTTGCCTAAAGCCTCCCCATTTCCCCTTTTGTAATTCTGCCTGGCCCACCGATAAATTTTTCCCATCAACTTCTATCATCTGCAAACAGGGACATTTCAGAGTTTATTGTTTCCCCCCAGTCATTCACAAATACCAAAAAACTTTCCCGGTTTTCAAAGGGACTGCCCCTGTGGAACCCTGCTCTTTACAGGCCCCAACTGACACCTCCCCACGCACCATGACATGCTGTTGTTTCCCTGACGGTATTCCCTGACCACTTTTTCCTTCCCTTGATCTCTGCCTGTCCTACAGCTTTTTCACTAATCCTTTTGTGAGGAACTGTGTCAAAACCCTTTTAAGTCCAAAAAAAGCAATCTAACCCCCTTTTTTCTCTCTTTGTATTATACTGTCCCCTGCATAGAATCCGTGGGTTTTTGTGACAATGATTTCCTGTCTGTAAAATCTGCTGGCTGCCCATTGATGAGTTTGTTCCTTTCTGGGTGCCCCCACCCTCTTCTTCTAATAATCTTCCCCATTATTTTGAAAACTAACATGTTAGCTACAGGGTTGTAGTGAAATGTTTCATTCTGTTCCTTTCTTTAAAGATAGGATACTTTTCTGTTTTCCCATTTCCAGGCAGTCGCCCTTTTCAAAAGATGTGTTGAAGTTGTTTTTAGGGTAAAAAGTCCCTTTGCCCCTCTCTTGGGCTAAGGGAGAGATGTATTGGCCCCCTTCATTACGGGGCCTCTTCACTTTTTTTCCTCGGTTGTGTTACGTGTCCAACACTTGGTGGTGAACCCTGTTCTTTCGTTTGGTGTCCCTTCTGTCTCCACTGTGAACATTCTTTGAATCTCACATTGAGCTCCTCAAAAACTTCATGGTCTTTTTTTTTTTGTGATCCCCCCTCCCCCCTTCGTCAGCTTGATTCCTGGTCCTTGACTGTTTTTTTTCCTCCTGAAGTGGTTGTCAGCAGTTCAGATCAGATCTGGCTTTTGCTGCTAGCCCTTTTCATATTCCCTTGGGACCCCCTTTTCCCTTTTGAATTTCATTTCTGGCTCCAGTTTCTATCCTTTTTTTGGGTCCTTTGTTTTCTTACTTCCATTTCTAGCACATTTGTTTTGGCCTTTTCAGCCTCTGGGAAAACCAAGGGCTCACTGGCTTTCGTTATTTTGCCCCTTTTGCAAAACCACTCTCAGCTTTCTTGCCTTTATTACAATTCCATCATCTCATTCCTGATTTTCCTGTGAGTTCTCTGCCCCCACTGAACCCCTTAAAAGGAAATTTTTTATTGCTGCATAGTCCCCTTCTTGTAGTTTTTCATTTGCCTTCCCCTTCCTGCTTTCTCTCCATTGTAACTCTACTATGCATTAAAAAGCTCAGAACACGTGCTCACTCCCCTGAGGGGTTTTATATGTGTTTTTTATCTGCACTCTCAAGGGAATCTAGGCCCAGTTTCCTAGTTTGTCTTTTCCACATTTGGCTCTCGTTTCGGGGTCCTGTTGCTCCTTTCTCCCGTCTTTTTTCCTTGGGGTTGAAGTCCCCCATCATCGTAGCTTTGCCCGCTTGCATAACCCCTTCTGGCTACTTCTACTAGGTTTTAAAACCATCGCCTTTGTCTCTCATACTCTTCCCTTGGCCTCCGCTGTTCTGTGGGGGGTTTACATCACTGTAATTTTCACCTTGGGCCCTCCCAGGCTGAGGTTTTCCCTATTAGTAATCTTTTATTTCTTTTTTTCCCCCCTTTCCAGCTCATAAAAAACCATTGGTTTTTTTTGAGCAGGGCTACTCCTCCCCCCCTTTTCCCTTTCTGTATTTCCTCGTATCTGTATTTTTAGAAAGAGGGTTTTTAATCCCTGTGACTTGTTTCGTGAGACCCTTTCGTCCCACTTTCGCCCCACTCTTCCCACTTATTCGTCTTTTCTTCTGCACGGTGTACCATATTTTTCAGTTTCCTCCCCAACACGGGTTTTCGGGGGGGGCTTGGGGGGGGGGGAACCTGGTGTGTGCTGGGGGATTCTAAGAGTGTGTGGGGGGGGGGGAATGAAAGAGGGGCTGGGGTTTTGTGTTGGAAGTGGTTTGGTTGTGGGATTCTAGTTAAGTTCTGTGTGTACTTGACTTGTTGCTTTTCCCCTGCTTGTTTGTCCTTCGTGATTCTGTCCTTGTCTCCCCCCCCTAGCCCCTTATGCCTCTGTGTCCTCTCCCTCAGCTGCTGTCTTTTTTAAATATCTGTCTCAGCCCAGGAACACCCTCTTGTATTTTGTCAATTCCTTCAGCGTTGGTTTCTTTTTGCGGACCTTTTTTGCATGTTTCTGTTTTAAAAAATACTTGACCTCCCATTGTCCCCCCTTCAATCCCCCCCTTATTCTCTGAAAATTTACTATCTCAGTCTGTCCCCTTGCTTTTTGCTTTGTGTGATTTCAATCTCATGTTTTTCTTCCCCTGTCGTTCATTTGTGCCCCCCTTTCTCTCCTGGAGCTAATGAATAAACACTAACCCCCCTCCTCCCCCAAAATTGTCATTCCCTCAGTGTCTCTGGGCATCTTTTAATAGCATTGTCCCCCTTTTTTTTTTCCCGGGTGCTCCCCAGGCAGGCGTTTCTTCTGTGTATGAGTGTGTGGTGTGTGTCTGTGTGTATGTGTGTTGTGTGTTATTCCCTAATTGTGGCTGAAAGGGTCGAGACTCAGCTCCGGGGCCCCCGTCTTTCACTGATCGTCAGGTCCTACTAGGTTGTGTGTGTGTGGGTTGGGGGGTGTTGTTTGTGTGTGTGTGTGTGTGGTGTTTTTTCACCTTTTTTGGGTTGCGATTGAGACTCACTCTTGGCTCCTGCCTCTTCACTGAGTGCTCTGGGCTTTCTCTCTCCTGCTCCAGACTTTACGTCCTAATTTTAAAACCCTTTATCGTTCAAGGGGCCCATAAAAATTCGAAATTCGAACTAAAACTCCCTATGGTGGATAGGTAACTAAATACAAAGTAATAACCCTATGTAAAGGATTTCTGAGGGTTTAGTTTTCGAGCAATTGCTAATCTCAAACCAAATTTTTCCCACTTGCCCGACAAAGGGAGTAAGAATCTGAATGTTGAAAAATTGCAATTGTTAAAAAAACACCCAAAAATTTTTTTTAAATTTTTATACAAACAAAAATATCAAAAAATAAATGAAACTTTATCAAAACAGTTTGATTATTAAAAAATAAAAAAATGAAACAAATAGCAACAGGACACTTGCAAAGGGATAAAACTTTAAAGTTCATATTCCTGAGTTCAGGGAAAAAAGCCCAAATTTATTCTTATTGCAAATTTGATGGTATGGTAGTTGCTGAAGCAATTCTATTATTCTTTTTGCACAGATTTAGTTTGCAAAAAGAACATGGAATGAGGATTGCCCAATTTTTTCGAGTGGCTGCAATACTGAAATCGAATACCTTTTTCTTTTTCTTACAAATTTTGTTTTTGGCTGGCCTTTTTTTCCCCCTCATCATCACTTGACACCTCTGCATCCAGGGGAAGTTTTCATCCCTATCCAGCAATTCTGGGGCATTACCTTTGGTTTGAGTCACTGTCACCAAAAAAAGACATATTTTGACCTGGTGCGGGGGTC